AAAGCAGGGCAATGTGAAAGCTGGTTTGCAGGAATGTTAGCATCACCCATCAAGCATGTATAATTAAGGTCTTTATTGTTTACAAATATTAAGTTATCCACAAAATAAAATAACTTATATATATTCAAACTTAAAAAAAACAAAAACAAAAAAACATTATACCATTCAAAATAAACAAATGCATATTATCGCGTTCACCCCACACAGTATTTCCATGTCAGTCATTTCTCAGGATAGTTGGTCTAAATGTGCAAAGAATCAATCTGAACTAAACATCAACGGGAACTCAAGTCCAACTGACAAAATACACTTTTGATGGTTTGGTATAACATCGAGGAACAAAAATCACACTAATAAATAAATACAACAACAAAGCAAAACAGAAGGACAGAACAACATTTGCAGATTAAAGTAAATTCTTCTTCTTTCATTATGGGACTAAAAGCTAAATTACTAAATGAAACAAACAAAGGCTGATGTTCCCTTTAAAATGTTTTAAATAATTGTGAATAGTTCATTAGATGCTATAAAATGAAGTTTGGATGGGCAAATATGTTTAAAAGCTTTTTTATGTATAAATATTACCATTATTATTATTATTATGCAGAAACTTCATACTTTTTTCGAATCAAAAAGTCATCCCACACTTTCCCAGCAGGCGCAGGATGTCAACATGACGTCAGATTGACGTTGTACCCCAACATTGTGGGACATTGCATTTTGTTTTGAAATGAAAATTGTTTGCTGTCAGAACCTAACGTCAGAGCCGACGTCAATGTCCAACGTCGGACACAGTAAAGGATTAAGGCATGAGCAATATGGGCGATTGCCCCGAGTGGCATCTTGCTGAGGGCGGCACAGGGAGACGGTGCAGAAAAAAAACAAACGTGCCCCAATAAGCTTTGAGAGATGCAAGTAACTTTATGCAAATTTATCAAAATTGAAGGTGCTTTCACACCTGTGAATCGATTCAGTTGTTCCGAAACAGAGATTACAATTGTTACATTGTTGCTTTTTGCTCTTGGAGCGGTTCGCTTTCACACTGCAAAGTTTCTAATCGGACCAAAAGAGCTAAAACAAGTCACGTGCAAGTAAACCCTCCTCACATTGGTCAGAGTGTCAGGTTTTATTTTGCAGCGTCCTGCTCAGCTGTCAGAAGAAGTGGTGGTTTGGTGGTGACTGACAGGGTGCGCGCACGACGTGACTGAAGAGAGATGCGGTGGGGAGGGGTGAGAAGGGTGCGCGACGATGCCTATTTGAGGACCGGGAGGGAGACGCAAGATTACCGGGAGATCATCACTCGTTTGTGGGCATCCGGAGACTTGCGAAACTTCCCGCCCTACTCATAATTCTCTCTTCATATAGCCGTAAGCCTATTACATATCCATAAAACACTGTGATTTAACCGCACTCGGATCGGATCGCTTTCTCACTGCAATCGAACCGCTCCAGGGTTCGTTTCAATCGAGCCGAGACCACTTCATTCAAGCGATCTCGGAGCAATTACTTTGACGCAGAACAGAGCGCGATTGCCCTGTTCACATATGCCAAACGAACCGCACTAACTGGGCAAACGAGATACATTCCGAAACAAAAGTGTAGGTGTGAAAGCACCCTAAGAGTGCTAATTCCAGAATCCCGTCTTTTGCATGCGCAAGTTTGTTTTTCTAGACATGCACCTGAAGCAACGCTGGTGAAAGCAAACTGATGTTTGCATGCAGAAAACTATTCCTGCGTAACGCACGCACTGCTCCTTCTCTTTTTTACATGCACGCTGATAAAATATGCTTTGCTTTTTCATTCATTCATTTATTCATTCATTCATTCATTCATTCATTCATTCATTCATTCATTCATTCATTCATTCATTCATCTTCTTTTCGGCTCAGTCCCTTTATTAATCTGGGGTATCCACAGCGGAATGAAGCCCCAAATTGTCCAGCATATGTTTTACGAAGCGGATGCCCTTCCAGTTGCAACCCATCATTGGAAAACAATCATACACACTCATTCACACACATACACTACAGACGTTTTAGCTTACCCTATTCTATGCGCTGCTAAAGCACTGTGAAACCGGAGCATAGGCCTTTTCTTTTACTTTTATAGCATAATGTGTCGACAGGCAGCGACTTTTGCAAGTTGACAAAACTGAAGCGGATGATGAAGATGATGATCTTATTTTGACTAAGCACGTCTATGAAGCAGAAATAAGGGATAGGGTCAGGGATGTAAGACTTAATAACATTAATTTTAGGCCTTGAGCCAGGTCAACGATGAACAGATGATTCTATAAAACATATTTTTTTTTTGTATTCTATAGTATTGTTATGATTAATATTCATGCGGAATATTTTGTAAGTGATCTTAGCATATCAATGCAGTTTGTCTGTATATTGTTTTCCAGTTACATTTAGGATGGTCTAGAATAATAATTGTATAATAGTAATATTAACTTATTAATATTTAATAAATATTAATATTATGAATAATCTCAATAAAAATCCCCATTCTGGTTTTCTCTATATTTTACCCAAAGTTTGGTCAAAACAATAAAAATTTTTTTTAGCATGTACATGTTTAATTAGATGGTTTTGAGAAGGTGTGGGGGTCATAAATGGGGGTGGATTTGCCTAGGGTGCCATTTAAGCTAGAACCGCCACTGGACGTTACCAATATCACGTCTATCTGACGTTGGATTTTGGTTGCCATACCTGACAAATTAATGTCAGTATTTGACGTCATATGCCATTGTTTTAAAATGTTTGCTTAACGTTAAATTTTGGTCACTGTCCAACATAAAAAAATATCAACAAAATATCAGCGTCATTTAAAATAACATTGTTTTTAGACCTAAATTGAACCTAATATTAACGTCTTATGACATTGTGTGTCTGCTGGGTTCTTTCACTGATCATGAACAGTTATTTTCATAAAATATACAGTGATAGTTTCAAAAAAGCAAAAAAAAAAAAAAAAGTCACACTGAACAGTTGTGTCACCTGAAAAATGAGCTGGCAAAGCTGAGATATACATTTTATATTAAGTTTGGTGAGTTGATAGGGGGGCTAAAGCTACCACATTTCGAGTGTGGTGATCAGGCGGTGACTATATTGTCTAAATATCTACTGACTGACATTAAAAGCTCTGGTGAAAATGTTCCTGTCGCAGTGAAACAGCCAGCCGTTTGCAGGGAAGCGTTCAAGACAAAAACATCTGCAGAGGTTTAGTCCAGCTTCATCCATACATTTAGACTCCTCAGTAACATTTTGTGGTGTATATTTCATGCCTTCGTCCATAACACATGTCCATATTCATGTTTCAGTGTCAAGAAATGATCCATTTCATCTGGCTGTGCTTAAAAAGTGTCACTTGATGGGGCAAACAAGCCTCTGAAGGCCAGCCTGCACTTTTACCAGCGTTAAAGTGGTTCTATATACAATCGCTGGAAATCTAAACAAACATGCTGGCTTGATATTAACTGGTATATGATACCGTTTTTTTATACTCAAGAGCTTATTTGGCAAACTCTTCTGACAAATGGCTCTGTGCAAAGGTAAATGGAACATCATGGATACACTTAATATATAAATCGTCACTGTCAGGCAGAAACCTTGTTTTTTTTTTTTCACAAATCAGTGCTTTTGGTCACTTTTCAAGTCTATCTGTGGGTTTATAAATATTTAACCAATAAAATGTATAAAACGAGATTTTGAATAAGCCTTGAATCCTCAAACTGTCAGTCAAACCTTATAGTCTTGAACATTTCTGCTTGTTTGCAATGCGTTGGGTTAATAAAGAACTGGCTGCTTAAGCGAGTGCAACCTTTACCTTTTTCAGTAAATATTATGTATGTAAATGCTATTAATTTACAAATACGAGAAGCAGAGAAGAGTATCTTGTGTGCTGTTTACATCAAGAACTAGAATGCAATTCGATTTTTTGTCGCAGCTTGATACCATTTGGACAACATAAAATCCAAGTGTAAGGACAGGCTGAGAAGTAATGAACTTAACAACTTTCAGCCACTTCCAGAGGTAGTCAAAAACTCATTTGACTGGATTGCAATCATAGAATGTCTTTGAACTGCGACAAAAAAAAACAAACAAAACAACAACAACAAAAAACAAACTAGCTATTTTTAGTGATCTAAATCTTAAGTATTACGAGATATGTTGTTGAAGCATGCTAAACAGATTTAGATTGTGTCATCTGAAAAAAATAGGTTTGGTTTGAAGGCTAAAAACAAAATAAAAAATTATTTTCTTACTAGTCCTGAATCTGAAATAAACCCACAATGTTTGGTGTAGTTTACAACTAATGATAACGGCTGCTCTTCAGCTGGTTTTTTCATGTTAATTGTGGAAGCTCATTTCATAAAATAAGATTTAAAGGTCTAATAATGTTAATATATTAACCTTCTCCACTTAGTGAAACTTAAGAAATTGGATGAAAGAGTTTAACTTAAACATCAGGTATAATCAGGAATGTGACTTTCTCGTCTACGTGTGCACAAAACAGATCATAATACCAGTTGTAAACTGATCCTACTATTTGTTTTTTTTTTAATTGTATTTCATCTTTTATATCATGAGATTCAGGCCCTTTGTATTGTATAACTTAAGGAGATTTGATGATGCCCCTATTAATGGCGGACAACATATTTTCAACATTCACTGGTCAAAAAAGTTTTATCTTCATCTAAGTATGATTTTGGTACGTTAATCAAAGTGTCTGACCATTTGTAAATCTACACTTCCAACTTTAACAATACTGTTTAATTGAAAAAAAAAATAATAACAGTAACAGTAATAGGTTTGGACATGCAAGGTTTCTGTCTGACAGTGATATATTCTCTTCTTTAAGTACCGGAATCCCATGCGTCTGCTTGGTGCTATATTACAGGACTACGAGCCATTGATTTATTTGAAAACCGAAACAAAACGAACACAACGCCGTGTCGATGAGTGCTCTGTTGGCAATATACTCCACATTATATTCATATTCTTAATTTATTTAAATTAAAAATACTTTCTGAAATTATATGCAGTGCAAGTCCAAAATCAGTCTGAAATCTTGTGCTTGGACCCATGCAGCGTGCAAACACTTGCACACTTCTCTAGCACTCAATTCATCTCATTTGTGCTTTCCATGGGAATCATGGAAACGGCAGTCCATTGCGCAAGGGAGGGATCTTTCCAGTCTATCCCTATATTTAGTGTCTGTTTTTGTACGTTTCTTAGATGCTTGCTTATTTCATTTGCAGACACTGACCCACTCTGTTATCCTGCACTCTTCGCACACTACGTAACAGCACCAGTGGAACTTGCAATTGCAGCGTTCGCTGCGAGTCTGCTGTAAGATGTTGTGGCCCCGGCCGCAGCATAGGCTCTCACAGTTGTCCATTCCCTGGCTGGTCTTGTTACAGATCCGGCCTTGCGTCCCGGCAGAGTCCGACCCAAGGTCCCTCTCACAGAAGTCAGGGGACTTCTCGAAGTAGACCAGGTCATTGATGTTGGCTCTCCGCCGGTGTGTGTGGTGGGCATTCTCCACCTGACCTGTGTTTCTGTTGTGGGCTTTGATTAGCGTGGCCACGTTGAAGCGCTCCTTCAGCAGCGAGCCCACCGTTCTGAACTCTGGAGTCACCTGCCAACAGGTCTTCAGCTGACAGCTGCCCGATGTACCATGGCATTTGCATTTCCTCCTCATGTGGTCCACCACAACCTGGACACAAGCAAAACAGATGGGGAAGTTGTTAATATCTGGAAACCGCAGCACATCTGGAGAATAGCTGCCTAATGCAGACCTTGCTTTGCATTCACTTGGACAAAAATCACCTACTGTAAAAGAAAAGAAGAATCGCTCATTTGTTAAATTTGGAAAATTATTCAAAGTTGATCGATCAGTTGATAACATATGAATGTTCACAGTTTTATGTATTTCATTTTTAAAAAGAACCATAGCCTTGTGAACTCAGAACCTTGTGATGCAGTTGCATTTCAGGCAACTCAAGTTCAATTCCTTGCTCGAGGTACATTCCCCACTCAGTCCAATTCCCTTCTTTATTCTATCACATAATTTCCTGTCTGTTGTCCGCACGACAAGTAAATAAACAAAATAAAGACACAACGGCTTTGTTTAAACAAATGAATAGATCTGGAATATAATAGTGATGTTGGAGACGATGATGCCCTACTCACAAGTTCAGACCTCCCATTCTCTCAACAATGCACTCATCTGTCATCCCCAGATATAAACTTTTAGATCCAATTACCAAGAGGAAGAGGGGCCACCCTCACTACTGACAGATGCCCCAGCACCCACCCATATCAACAACACAAGCACAAACATTAAGGCTTAGCAATCCCACATTTCACACTGTCTCAGGCTTTCCAGTGCTCAGCGCGGGACAAAACACTGTGTGAACATCTTTAGAGATAAGTCAAGTTTTGTCTGTCAAAACTCAAGGGATTAGGTTTCACTGTACAAAATGAAGCGGTGTTATTTTGTGTCACTCAGCCATGGCTTGCATGTTTTGCTTTATTATCTTCGGTCTCCCCTTCCCCCATCCTATGCTGTGGTGTCATGATCCACAACATTTTTTTTTTTAAATGTCTCGAAACAACTTTCCAATCCTCCAGAGCTACAAGTCTGCTAAAACCGAATGTTCTGACAAGTGTTGGCGTTCACCTTGAGTCGCAGGTCACTTTCAGCCGTTGTCAGAAGCAGACATCTGCTATCCCTGAAGATTGAGAATTTGGTTTGCATGCCAGCGGTTTCTATTTCAAGCTTTTATCCACCATATACTGGCTAGGTGCGTATGCAAATTCAGCTGGTTTGTTTTATATGAATGGGCTCTAAGTGTAGATATGAAACTGATATCAAACCCTCATTGAGGCCAAAGATAACAACAATCAATCACAACAATACTCCCACAATGGCAAATCAGGTACTGCAAAACTGCACAACATTTGACAAGAATTTCAACCTGATCTCCCTCAATCTCAACTTGATAGTGCTCAAATTAACCCTTGGTCATGCAAAACAATGATTAACCACTCAGGCTCCAACGTTTTCATACAGTCAGCATTGTTTCGAGAGAGTGCAGCCTTCCAAAAGGAAGCCAAATCAGTTGCCCGAGGGCCAAGGCAATGCGGGTACAGACAAATAAAGATATTCAAATCCCTACGCTTGAGTGCAGAGGACCTGACGGGAATTTAAATATCTCACCTACAGCATTTAGGAAGTAGACCTGCCTGCTCATGCTCATGTGCGGCTCATGCTAATAGAGCTGGGTTGAAAGATGGCAGGGTTTGATTGCTCTTCTTCCTCCTCTGCGTCGAACTAAGGGCATGAGTGGCGCGGGTGTTTGGCATTGGAGGAAGCGAAGAAGAGACAGGAAATGCTCTCTTGGAAGCTGCCGCCCTGCTTAAGTGACAACAGGATAATCTGTCGGGTGTGTGAAGAGGTGGAGCGTCTGAACGAAGCCTGGCAGCCCGTCTAGCCTGAGGAGCTACAGATGAAGTGCAGGAAGCATACTGTAGCTCATTCCTGTGTCTGCCATGAACAGACTCATGTCCTTAAAGTGAAGCCTGTCAAGCTTCTGCACTGCTCTGCTGGCACAGGACGAGACTCGTTAAACAATGGACTTAATTCATGTCCTATACAGGGATTCAGGGTTTTTACAATAAAGAAGAATAGTTGATGATAGGATGTTGAATATTAAGTATGATGAGGCATACTATTTTTGAACAGGAGATATACCTTTTTGTTTTGAATCTTTGTCTATAGATTAAATACTACACATGACGTGTCACTCAAATGGTTTTGAATGGGGAAAGTGTCAATATGGCCACATTAATGAACGAAGCCCCGCCTTCTTGTAAAACAGCCAATCATTGATCGATATTGGCTAAGAATTCACTGGAGGAAGGGTTCAGTCCAGACATGTGTCCTTTCAAACACTTTCTGCACCTTCATTGTTATGAACCCTCTAGGCCAGGGGTGTCAAACTCAATTCCTGGAGGGCCGAAGACCTGCAGAGTTTAGTTCCAACCCTGCTCCAACACACTTACCTGTAGGTTTCAAACAAGCCTAAAGGACTCAATTAGTTTGATCAGGTGTGTTTAATTAGGGTTGGAACTAAACTGTGCAGAGCTGCGGCCCTTTTGGAACTGAGTTTGACACCTGTGCTCTAGGCTTTGCAAATGCACTACACTCACTCACTTACTCACTTTCCTTTGACTTAGTCCCTGCTTTATCAAGGGTTGCCACAGCAGAATGAAACACCAATTACTCTGACATATGTTTTACATGCTGAATGCCCTTCCAGCCACAAGTCAGCACTGAAAGGACAATCTTCAATGCTGGAAAACACCCATACACTCCGGAAATGCACTTCAATCTCAGCTAATACTTGCTTCATAGAAATGAGAAATATATCTACATAAAGCTTGACATATACTACTTTTAAATTAGCCAACTACACTTGAAAACAAATGTTCTCTGGTTTTGTAATATGTATGAAATGAATGCGAGGTACAGTCTGTCCTGTCTGACCTCATGAATTCCCACCTGTGCCATTCAAACATAAATCTCATGACAGCAACTACTTAAACGCCTATAAACTTGTAAACAAAGAGGCTGCTGACATTTTGGGAGATTTGCCATCAAGGCCAAGTTGGGAATTACCTCAGAAAGCTAGTGTTATCAGACGAGGCATTATTCAGAGGGTGATATCATGTAACTTGTAAACAGAATCAGCCATACATGCAGTTGGTGTTGTGATCTTGTTCTCTTCTACACTACCTGACAAAAGTCTTGTCACCTATCCAAGTTTTAGGAACAAAAAATAATAACTTGACATCAAGTTGATAATTTGGTATCAGAAGTGAAAAGCAATATAATATAGAAGGCAAAGTCTTCAAGATTATGCTTCTGTTACCAAAATAAAGTATGATCATGCCTTGATATTTAATCTTTTAATTAGGACAGTAAGGTCAGACTTTGCTCAGACAAAAGTTTTGTCACTTAACAAATATAATGTACAGTATAGGATATAAAGTCATGGTGCAGTGGAAAATAATTAATATTGTGTATGACTCTCATGAGCTTGTAGGACTGCATCCATACATCTCTGCAGTGACTCAAATAGCTTACGAAACAAACAAAAAAAAACATCTGGAATGGCAAAACAGTGTTCTTGCAGGACTCCCAGAGTTCAAGATTCTTTGCATTCATCTTCAACGTCTCCTTTCTTCATCTTACCCCAGACATGCTCAATAATGTTCACCTCTGGCGACTAGGCTGGCCAATCCTGGAGCACCTTGTCCTTCTTTGCTTTTAGAAACTTTGATGTGGAGGCTCAACTATGAGAAGGAGCACTATCCTGCTGAAGAATTTGCCTTCTCCTGTGGTTTGTAGTATAATGGGCAGCACAAATGTCTTGATACCTCAGGCTGTGGATATTGCCATCCACTCTGCAGATCTCTCACATGCCCCCATACTGAATGTAACCCCAAACCATATCTTTGGTCCATGTGGGTTCCAGTAGGTCTTCTGCAGTATTTTTGATGATTGTAATGCAGTTTAACAGATGATTCATCTTCAAAAAGTACCTTCTGCCACTTTTCCAAATGATCAACTGGAAGTCAAGTTATTGTTTGTTGTTCTAACCTCTGCGATCGATGACAAGACCTTTGTCAGGTAGTGTAGTGTGCATGCACATTACAACCTGAAAATAATGCAATTTTGTGTGTGTGTGTGAGTTGAACGTTTGGAACATAATTAAAGGGAGTTGTTAATGTTCTTGGTGATTTCTAATATGAAATTTAATCTTATGCTCGGCAAACAGTTTTGGAGAATTTGATGTTTCCCCATTCAAAGATTATATATCGTATAGGCCAGTGATGTCTAAACTCGGCCGTGGAGGGTCGTGTCCTGCAAAGCTTAGCTACAACTACATTTAACTCACTTCCCTGGAAGTTTCTAGTATACATAGAAAATGCTTGATTAGCTGGTTCAGGTGTGTTTAATTGGCTTTGGAACTAAAATATGTAGGACACTCGCCCTCCAGGACCGAGTTTGGGCACCCCTGTTATAGGCATTTTAAAGATGCTTACTGAAAAGAGTGGCCTTGAAGGGACTTTGAAAATAACTAGCAGGCACAAGACATCAACATGACGTCAGACTGACGTACACAAACATCATGGGAATGTTGCATTTTGTTTGGAAATTAAAATCGGGTTGACCTTAGAACAACTTTCAACATGAAATCAACCAAATATCAACATCTAATGATGTTACAGCTTGACGTTGTGTGGACATTACCATTTTTTGTTGCCATACTTGATAAATAAATGTTAGTATTTGACGTCAATTTGACTTTAGTTTAAGATGTTGGCTTCACATTGGATTTTGGTCACTTTCAAACACAACCTAAACTCAAGCAAATATCAAAGTCATTTGACATCGATATTGGACGTAAAAATAACGTTGTCTTTAGACGCTGGCCAGACATCAAATTTTGGTCAGCTGACGTTTCAACCTAAATCTAACCTAATATTAACGTCTTATGACGTTGTGTGCCTGCTGGGAACTATAATACAGTTGAAACATGTCGGGACCTATTTTAGCTGGTCATTTTCTGAAAATAAGTACACAGCCAATCAGCAAGCATTCAACGGCCCCATAGTGTAAGTGACAAATACATGTACAGTACAACC